GATGGATGGATGGATGGATGATGGATGGATGGATGGATGGATCCAGACCAGGAAGAGAAGGCAGAAATGTCCATTATTGAGGAATCTTGGCCCATGTGTGGCAGGATCAGGGTCTGGAGATAATTCCAGGTCTTCCATGGATGGAGAACCACAAATATCCTGGTGGGACTGGAGCAGTGACTTGGACCAGAGTAGGAACATGGAGCAACCTCCAAGCTGTACTGGTGGTGTCTCCATGTCCTTCCTCCTCTTCCTCCCATTCCCGTCTTTCACCCTAAATCCCACAGAGAAGAAATGGGATCCCACTGGGACCTCATTCCTGTCTGCCCAGCTGAAGATCCTGGATGGATTTAAACTCTGGGATAAACTGTTGGGAGTGGGAGCATCGGCAGAGGATTGATTGGAATCCTGATTTCTGGGACTTTAGGAGAGCTGGATTCATTGGATTCTCCTTTCCATGGGATCCAACTGGATCCTTGCCATGCTTCCCTGGCTGTGATTTGTGAGGTGGCTACACAAGGGTCTCCATAGGTTTTCCCACTGGGAATGGTATCCCTGTGCCCAGCAGGGTTTGCGGTGATGGATTTGTGAATGGAGGCTGTGCTGCTCCAGCTCTTCCTGGCGAAAATCCATCCCCGTGGGATTGACTCTTCTCTCCTCCCTATGGCAGAAGATGGAAAACCCCCGAATCCGCACCTGGGGCCGGTGGAGGAGCGGCTCGCCCTGGCCGCCCTCCGGAAGCAGGGATTGATCCCGGAGCATGTGGAGACCCGGCGCCTCTACAGCCCGCTCCAGCCGGACATCGAGCAGGTGGGTCCTGGAATGTGGCCGGGATGTGCCCAGGAGCGGCATCTCCTGATCCAGCCGTATCCAGGGAGAGGATGCTGCTGGGAACGTCTGCCCTGGAATTCCGGATGTTCCCAGGGAGGGGAGGTGGTTGTTCCCTTTGGCATGTGCTCCAATTTTTAAATTGAATTTAACTTAATTTAGTTTAATTTAATTTTAAATTTTTGGTCTCAAAGTCCTACTCAGAATTCTTCTCCCAGAATCCCAGGATCACTGAGGTTTGGAAAAGTCCTCCAAGGTCATCCGCTCCAAGCTGTGTCCGATGCCCACCCTGGCACTCTGTGCCACATCCAGGAATTCCTTGGACACCTCCAGGGATGGGGATTCCAAACCTCCCTGGGTGCTTCCAAGGCTTGACCACCCTTTCCATGAGGAAATTCCTGCTGGTGTCCAACCTGAGCCTCTCCTGGCACAGCTTGAGGCCGTTTCATTTTTTCCTGGTATTCCCTGGGATCAGATCCCAACTCCTACCAAGTTGGGATCAGATTCCAGCTTTCAGGCAGTTGTGGAGAGCCAGAAGGTCACCCCGATCCCTGTTTTTTCCAGGCTGAGCCCTTTTCCCAGCTCTCTCAGCTTTTCCTGGTGCTCCAGCCCCTTTCCCACCTCCCTCAGCCTCTCCTCAGGATTTACATCCACCAACACATTTCCAACTATTCCTCAAATCATTTAAAAATAACCTTTAATGTTACTTTTCCATGGAGGAATCCTCCCCTCCCACCCAAGGGAGCCTCCCTGGGGAGGTTCAGGTGCTCCAGCTGGAATCTCCCAAGGTTTCAGGGCTCTGTTTTTCCATGCAGGGAAAGCTCCAGATGTGGGTGGATCTGTTTCCCAAATCCCTGGGACATCCCGGCCCCCCCTTCAACGTCACTCCACGCAAAGCCAAGAGGTAACTTCCCATTTCTTCCTCATCTTTTCTTTGGGAAAGGAGTTGGGAATGCTTGGAAGCCTCAGGTGGGGATGGATTCACCCACCTGGATGAAGGACAGGTGTGGAATCATCTCCAGGGAAACGGCTTCCACAGGGAAATTTATCAGTGGGACAACCGGGCTTCCAGGTGGATGAGTTTTCCACCTTGTCATGGTTTTATTCCCGGGATTTTCCAGGTTCTACCTGCGCTGCATCATCTGGAACACCAAGGATGTGATCCTGGATGACCTCAGCATCACCGGGGAGAAGATGAGTGACATCTACGTCAAAGGGTGAGTGTCCCGCTCCGGAGCCTCCCAGATTCCAGAGGCTGGAGGTGCAGGAGCAGCCGGGAATGAGTTAAGGTGGTCCTTGGATTGGTATTGCTGGGATAGACTTGGATTCTGCTGGGATAGTGGGACCATCATGGCTCCCCAGTTATGGATCCATGGATTTCCAGCTGTGGATTCATGTCTTCAAGTATGGATCCACACCTCTCCAAGTATGGATCCACACCTCTCCAAGTATGGATCCACACCTCTCCAAGTATGGATCCACACCTCTCCAACTATGGATCTACCTCTCCAATTAGGGATCCACCTCTCCAATTAGGGATCCACCCATCTCAAGCTGTGGATCCACACCTGTCCAATTATGGATCCACACCTCTCAAATCATGGATCCACCTTTTTCCAGCCATGGATCCACACCTTTCCAATGATGGATCCACACCTTTCCAGCCATGGATCCACACCTGTCCATCTCTGGATCCAGAGATGGAGATGTGTCTTTTTGGAAGACACATCTCTTTTTGGAAGTCTCTGTGGAACTCACAACCTTTTTCTTCACACTTCTGGGATGATCCCATGGCAGTATTTTTCCTTGGAATAATTGGATGTTCCCGTAGTGGGATAAGATTGGGAGCAGCCCGGCCATGGGGAGAGGAGCTCACTGCCTGCTCATTCCCAGCTCCTTTCCCAGACTTTTCCCATGCTCATAGGTTGGATTATTTTCATGGCTGCTTTCTCTGGAATTCCCTTTATTCCTGGAAACAGCCCCTC